GGAACTTGTGCAGGATCATCTCGGGTGAGTCACGGCGGGGGGAAGGGGGTCAAACCGGAACATATTGAATCTTATTGAATACATTCATGGATATCTAAAAAACAATTGTACCAACAGAAATTTCATCTTTGAAAAGCTAAGCCCAAATATCAGCTGTACAACGAGCAAGTCTATGACCAGTATTACTCACTAATAAAATTTTCCTCTTCAAACTTTTTTTTCCCTTTTCTACCATTCTTTTTTTCTATTTTTTATTCTTCCACTTTTCTCTTCTTTCGTCTTAGGAATCTTCACCCGGCCGCGCCTTCCCTACGGCTACTCCCTCGTCACTCCCATTCCCGCGGGAGTGTGCAACGTCACCATCACAGAGATGAAGCCGTCAAAGAACTTCTTCGGTAAGAAAAAAGAAAAGAAAAAAACAGAAATGAGAAATAAGCACAGATTTATCTTTGTGGGTACTTACCCGTGAAATTATGCTGGGTAGTGCAGCGGTAGCGTTCACGTCTTGCAATCTTGCTGACGCGTTCAATCCCGCGAGTTGCCAGCGGATGGAAACCCCGGCCATTCCTTGCACACAGGGGAAGATTCAAAACCAAATAAACAGACAGCAAAGTCACAGCAAAGAATAATATCCATTGTAACAAATGGAATTATAACCAAATAAATTACTTGCATGTGTAATCAAGCTGTGACTTCCGAAGGGGAGGTGCATTCTGTTGGTAAATTTCTTCCCGTTCAGAAAAGTTTATGGTTCTTTTATGTATGAATATACATATAACTATGTTTATTTGGCATCCTAAGTCTGTATTTCACTAATAGTCTTAATGTGCTGAACCTCTGTGTATATGTAATTCATGCATCACACATTTGATAATACTATACTACAAGCAAGCAAAGGTAAACACAGTTATAGAGACATAAGTAACTGCAACCACGTTATTCCTGCCCGAATCCAGCCCTTCGACGCACCGACGGCACCTACGTCCTCAACGGCAACTGGGACATCCAGGCAGCGGGACAGTACCAAGCAGGCGGGACAGTTTTCACCTACACGCCGTCAGATAATGATAGCGGGGAACAGCTCGCTGCGCCAGGGCCTCTTAGGGAGTCGATTGAACTCATGGTAAGTGGCAGCAGATAATGTGTAATGATTTAAGAGACAGTCAAGAAACGCGGGTTTTGTAAATTTAGCTTAGTTTGCCATGATATTTCGTTTTCTTTTTCTAAAATTGTTCAAAGAAAATGTGTATAAGGGAGACGTGTCTATTATTATTAATTTCTTTCCTGTATTTTTTTAGAGTGTGGGGATAGTTTCAGGTATCTATCCCTGTTGCAATTTATTCGTTTAAACAAAGGGCAACGATTGCTAATTATTGCCCCTCTCGCCACACAGCTGATCTCTCAGAGTCCCAACCCCGGCATCAAATACGAGTACCGTGTCCCTCTCTCGGAGTACTTGGGCGGGGGCACGGGCGGCCGCACTCCCTCATCGGGCGGCCTCGTACCCAACATGGGCGGGAAGGTCGGGCCGGCGTCGACCGGGGTCGGCTCCACGCAGGGCAGGGGCCTGGCCATCGGGGGCGGGAATATTCCTCCGGGGCAAGTGACGCCGTTCCAGGGGAACCCGAGCGTCGGGGGCGCTGGCGGCATCAGGACTCCTGCCGGCGGCGGGGCGGTCAAGCCGAACCTGGTCCCGCGCGTGCCGGGGCTCCTGCCCTACGGCCCCTCCAACCCCAACATCGCCAACGGGGGCATCTTGCCTCTCACGCCCGTCATCGCCCCGATTAACCCCGGGGGCGCTCATGGCACCTTCACTCCCTCCGGCAGCGTGCCCTTCAAGCCCCTCAGCCCCCAGGGAGGGGTGGGCAGGACGGGGGCGGGGACACCGCCGATAAACCCCGCCTACGTGGGGAGCCAACCACGGCTCCCGACCCTGGATTCCAGCGGGGGTGTCGCATCCAGGGGCACTATTCCAGGGATCGCTGGCGTCCCGTCACGAGGACAACCCCTAACCCCTATAGGGACCCCCGGCCAAGGGTCTGGGAACCTCCCCCTCCCCTGGAATCCCCCGTACACGTCCCAGGACGGCGGCCGCGGACTTCCCTTAGGGACGCCCTTCCAGTTCCCAGGGAGCCCCGGAGGCTCTGGCGTGACCACCGGCTCAGGCTTCCCCGGCCCGAGGCTGCCTGTCCCCTCGCGGCCCGACGGCGGCAGCCTCGAGACCGCCGGCGCGCCCAGGACGGGCTTCCCGCCGGAGTTCCCCAAGAACAGCGTCCCCCTCCGCCCCGTGGCCGTCGCGCGCCCCGGCTCGCCAGGGGCGCGGAGGCCGCCCACCGCGGACGGCGCCGCCTCGAATACGCACAGGACACGACATCAACATGGTACTAAAGGTAGGGAGAGGGAGAGAGAGAAAGGCAGGGAGAGAAGGGAGAACGAGAGGGGAGTGACAGAAAAGGGGGGGGGGAGAAATGAGAACGAGAGGGAATGAGAGAGAGTGAGT